CGGATCAATTAAATTATAATTATATACCTTCAAGCTATAGTCCTGTATCTTTAGAGAAATATCTTCGGGTTTCCTATTTAAGGCGTTAGGGCGTAAATTCGTAAAGCCGGGGCTATAGCGGATTAAAAAATCGAAGCGGGATAAGAATTCTAACTATTATATATAGCGTAGGGTTAGCTACTTATAGTAAAAAAATTTAAAATTTCATAGTCTATTAAAATATCGAACGGTTACTATACGCCCTCGAATTCTAGCCTCTACTCCTTTAGTACTTTAATAATAGTTAGCAATTCCTTATTATAAATATTATAATCATATTTTTATGTAATATACTATAATGAAAAATAGGTTACCGGGTATAAAATTCTATTATCGCCGTATTATAATAGGGTACTACTAAAGGCCTAATGAAAAGCATCGGTTTTAACGATTATCTTCTTTGCCTAATTGTATATATATAAAGTAGGTCCGCTATTAAAAGCTATTTTTAACATTTCGAAAGTAATTTATTAGATTAAGGTCTAATCCTATTCCATATCCCTCTTTATAAGGTTATAGAGTGGTGCTACTGTCGACGAAAATCCTTAATAAAATAATAGTAGAAATTAGTAAAACTTAATAAATTCTATAAGGATTTTTTAGAAGTAGGGGGCTACTAATCTACGATAGCTTTAAGCTTTTTTAAATTTATTTCAATATTTCCTAATATAATAATTAATCTAAAATATTTAATCTTGTTAATATAAAATTCGTATTTAATAATATCTACTTATAAGTTAGCCTGAACTAACCGTTCGAAGACGTTGTTAATGTACTTCTCTTATTTTGCTTCGTTTTTGGAAAAAATTAGATTATCGTCTACATATACCATTATATATATATATCGAAAATATTATATAAAATATCGTTTATATAATTCTAAAAGGTACCGAAGGCGCCTTAGAGCTCGAAAGGATATACTAAGGACTCAAATAATTTAAAACGCGTAATAAATACCGTTAATAATTTATACCCCTCCGCAATACAAATATAATTAAAAGCAGTAATAATATTAAATTTAATAAAAATCTTTATTTTATAAATAGCGTCCAAAATGTTTTTAATAAACGGGAGGGGGTATTTACTTTCAAAAGTAACGTTATTAATATTCCGATAATCGATATAAATACGTATTCCTCCGCCTAATTCTTTTATAAGGAAAATAGGGGAAGCGGCCTCCGATTAGGAAGGCGGAATAAAATTATTCTTAAAAGTATCGTTAATTTATTTCTTAATAATATTTAATTTATGTAAATTAAATAAGCGGGATCGAAAATATAATAATTATTCGCCCGGCTTAAATTCGATCTTCAAATTATAAATATAGTACGGGGGTATATGTTGGAAGTCCGTGCCCTGGGCCGCCCATTCACTGGGCCGTTCCATTACCGGCACTCCCTTCCAGGTATTTAGGCTGCCCTGGTTTCCGTTTCTCCTCTTCCGTTAGACAACTACAATCAAGCCCTTTTCGTTGTCGCCTTCCAGCCTCCATCAACTATCCTATATACAAAACATTATGTACTATAGAAATCCCCATACAAAATTATGTTATTGGGCATCGCTGTGATTTTTTATGTTTACGTAACACTCTGGAATTTACTATGTAAATGCTTTTTTACATCAAAATAACGTGCCAAGCATTGAAATTTGGGTGCCCGTATAGGGATGGGTGCCCGTGTAAGACGACCCGGGTGCTCGCGGATGAAATACCATTTCTTTAGCCTTTCCGTTATTTTTAATTATTCTTTTACCGATATTTAAGTTAGTAATAAGATTTTCTAATCCCTTAATAGTGTCCTCCATTTCGATTAGGGAGTTTTTTAGTTGTTGGACTATAGCGGGGTTAGTAGTGGAAATAGAGGAGTTATAGCAATTGGCTAAAGTAGGGATTTAATTATAAATAATTTTGAATTTAATATTTAAGTAGGAGACGAAGCAATAGAGCTCTAATATTTATTCTTTTTATACTATATTTATGGCATTTCATCCGGGGGCACCATGGCCGTCTTACAGGGGCACCAAACCTTATATACGCACCCATCGGGTTAGGGATTAACGTGCACATTATTTTTTACCAACCTTTAATACAGTCAGACAGTAATCGTACAACACCTTTTCTGTGTAAGACAGTGCCAAGCCCAGTCAACTAGTGGACCCCATGTGCACGACCCCCATCTTTGTAAACTTCTTAGTGTCTGCCCATGTCTTTTCACAACCTTCATTTTGCTCCCTCTTTACAACTAGACTACCTTTAATCACTATAACAGGCTAGAATCAATCGCACGCACGTAAATATTAATCGTATTAATTACCAGAACTATTTGCTAATTTCCCTAAAGCTTCAAACACTACGCGCATCGTATATACGACTCAAGATGCCGCCGTGGGATCTAGATGCGCCCATCGACCTTACCCACATCGAGGGCACCTTATAGCGACGCCGTCAGCGATGAATACTATAGAACTATCTCATATTGAAAATATTGTATACTATACAAATCTCTATACAAAATTATGTTCTGGAACATCTTTGTGATTTTTTTCATGTACATGTAACACTTTGGAATTTACCATGTAAATGCTATTTTACATCAAAAATACGTGGCAAGAATTGAAATATTGGTGTCCCCATAAGTATTGGTGCCCCCGTAAGACGACCATGGTGCCAATAAAATGCCATATTTATAAGAGATAGTAATTTGAATTCTTAGAATATAGCTTGGGAATTTCCGCGGTATAACTTAGCGAATTTTTCCTCCGTCAAGTAGTTAGAAAACGGAAGGTTTAAAGAGGGGAATATTATTTAGAAAGGAACGTTAAGGATAGAATTACGAATAAATAACTTGGTGAATTCTTTTATTTCTTATGTTAAATTGTTAGTAATCTCCTTCTTAATTAAGCGACCGTTGAAAGTTTTAATATTTTCGATCACCGAAGTAATATACTTATTAAATCGGTCGAAGGATAATTCGGGGTCTTCGTTATCCTTATTATTGGTTATTATATCGGCGAATATTTCGTTAGGGGATTTTAATTAGTAATATATATAATAAAGGGACTTTTTACGAAGGATTATAAATTTATTATAAAAGGGTTCCTTATTTGGATAGAAGTTATTATAATATTTTTCGTTAAAGAGTATAATTTTGTACGTATTATCTTTAATAATAGGATCGATAGGTTGGCGCTTAGGGGTAATCTTCTTATTTTTATTTTTAATAATAACCTTCTTTTTAAGCTTCGGTTTAATAACTGTATCCTCTTCTTATTTAGAGTCGGGATTTAAAAAGCTAGAGCCTCCTTTTCTATTACTATTTCTACCCTCCTTATTGAAGAAAGTATTATTATAATCGTGGTTAGGGATATCTTCGTTATAATAGTCGTTATAATTCTCAATCTATTCGGTACTTTTATAATTACCGGCGCTATTGTATATTAAGTGTAGTAGTATTATTGTATTATTGTAAATACTCGGTGCTTTGAATTTTTACAATAGACTTTTTTGATTTCGTTTTCGGCTTAGGACTTAACCTTCCTAAGTAGTTGTTGGGTTGATCTAAAATAATATAAGGGTATAATATAGGTAAGTCAAAAGTAAAGTTAAAATTCTATTTATAATAGAAAATTTTAGATAGGAAAAAAAAAGAGGAATAGAATTAGGTATAAGCGTATAAACCCAAATAAATACCTTGATCGTACAAGCGATAGCGGGACTTATATGCGGGTCGCTATTAGCCAATTGCTTTATTTGTATCCCCTTTACCTATAGGATAAACCCTATACGTACTAAGATCCACCTTACAATTAGTCTTGGTATAGCTAATTAAATAGCTTATATCCCCTGGATTGTGCTATGCCCAGAATCCTCTATGTACTTCATTCTAATAGCCTTATGAACCACTTCGTGCATGGCACCCAGACCCAGTCTGCCAGCGCCGTCACAAATAGGGTACATTGCGAGGAACATACTAACGTTAAAATCGTATTAATACAATTGGTTTTGGTAAAATTATAGTAGTTAGTAGGGTTAGCTTGCACGGTCTTATTAATTCTACGTAGTAAAGAAATCACGCAAGTTTGGAATCTAACGATGGCTACAACTCACTAAGTTCAACGTATTAAATTTATATTTATTAGGGTTAGGGATTACTATAATACTACACGCGTAGGAATATCTAGGAATAGCTTCCTATATGTGACGGCGCTGGCGGACTGGGCCTGGGTGCTATGTACGAGTACGGTTCGCGAGGGTGCTGGAATGAGGTATATGGAGGATTCTAGGTATGTTACGGTCTAAGGGATGCGAGCTATTCAATTAGCTATACTAAGACTAATTACAGGGTAAATTGTTGTGGTGGGGTCTGTCCCACTCCCCTTCACTGGCATTGTCACGTGGGCCCAGCCAGCCCACACCACCATGTATTTTAGCCCTCCACATTTCTTTTCCCTTTCTTCTCTAGCTTAGGACAATCAACACACTTCTTGTGCCCACGAGTCCAAGATAAATCCTAGTACGTATAGGGTTTACTATATAGGTGAAGGGGATATAAATAAAGGGATTGGCTGATAGCGACCCGTATATGGGTCCTGCTATCGCTTGTACGATTAGGGTATTTATTTGGGTTTGTATGCTTATACCTAATTCTCTTCCTTTTTTTTTTCTTTATTTGAAATCTTTTGTTATGGATGGAATTTTAATCTTGCTTTCGATTTATTTATATTGTGCCCTTGTATTATTTTAGATTAATCTCATAACTATTTGGGAAGGTTAAATCCTAAATCGAAAACGAAATTAGAAAGATTTATTATAAAAATTTAAGGTATTGAGCATCTACGATAATAACGATATAATAGTACTATTACGTTTGATATATAATAGCGTCGGTAGTCGTGAAAGTATTAAGTAGATTGAGAATTGTAATAATGATCGCTATAATAAGGATATTTTTAATAACGATTATAACGATTGTGACGATATTTTTTTCGGAGAGGAGGGTGGAGATAGCGACGGAGAAAGAGGTTTTGGCTCTCTAAATTCCGATTTTGAGAAAGAAGAGGATACGGTTATAAAATTAAAACTTGAAAAGAAGGTTGCTATTAGTAATAAGCGTAAACTTATCGACCTGATTATTAAGGATAATGTGTATAAAGCCGTACGATTTAATAAGGAGCGTTATAATAATTGCTATTTAAATAAAGAACGCTCCTACGGCAAGTTTATAATCCTTCGTAAGAAATCCCTATATTATATATATTATTAATTGAAGGTACCCAATAAAGTATTAATTAATACGATCGTTAATATAGGAGAAGACGATAAGTAGCCCGAATTATTTTTTAAATTGTTCGATTAGTATATTATAATAGCGGTCGAAAATATTAAAATTTTCGATATTCATTTAATTAGGTATAAAATTATTGACGATTTAAAGTAGAAGATAGAAAAATTCGTCGTTATTTATTTGCGATTCTATCCTTAGTATTCCTTTTTAGATATTATTCCCTTCGAACCTGCTGTTTTCCGGCTATTTAATTGAGGAAAAATTCGTTAAGTTATACTATGGAGACCCTTAGGCTATATTCTAAGAATTTAAATTATTATTTATTAGAAGTATAGTATAGAAGGAATAGGTATTGGAATTTTATCGCTTCGTATCTTACTTAAACGTTAAATTTAAAATTATTTATAATTAAGTCCCCGTTTTAGCCGACCGATATAGTATATTTATTATTAACCTTGCTATAGTATAATAATTAAAGGATTCTTTTGTAGAGAAAGAAGATATCATTAAAGGATTAAAAGATTTAATTATTAATTTGAGTATCGGTAAAGGAATAAGCAAGAATAAGGGAAAAGTTAAAGAAACGGTACTCCTTAGTATTAAAAAGGACGTTAGCGAAGTTCTCTTTAAGGCTTCTATTTGTTTTTTAATTTTATTTGCCGAATATATTGATTTTGAAGATAGAGAGCGTTCTAATTCCTGCTACTATAATATTAAGTAAGCCGACCTTATTAAATATTATAATTAGGATAAGGAAGACGATATTCCTTTCGAAGTTTAGTACGATTTGATTTAAGATAAGTTCGAGATTAACGCCGATTACTATTCTGCCGATTGCGATAAGTTCCTATATATTAAGAGTCGTTTAGTTGGATACGTTTACTATAATTTAATGTTATACTTGTGCGAAACTTACCCGGATTAAATTGAAACTTATTCCGGTTTAATAATTTATTTGTAGTACTAATATTATAATTCTAATTAGGAAGAGAATACGCTCTAGAATTCTACTAAATTAAAAATAAAAGATAATAATAATTTCGATTTCTTTAAAAATAAATTTATTTAGATAGTTAGCGAATATTAATATTTTAAAACCGAGTAGAAGCAGGAGTTATTTTAATACCTTCTAGTTGAGTATAAGAAATAAATAAGCGTAAAGTATTGTAATTTATTTCTTTCTTTCGAATTATATTATATAAATTATTCCGGTTTTAGATAAATATTAAAAATTATTGCCGACGAAAATAAAATTACTTTTAAATCCGGTAAGAATAATAATTTTAATAGAAGTAATAAGGGTTCTAATTCCGGTTTTAGCCCTGCACGTAAATTTATTAGTAGAGGAGGCGGCGTTGTCCGTTAAGGTAGTAATTATAAAGAGATTACCCGACTATTTAACGAGGGTAGATGTTTTCTTTATAAGGAGAAGGATTATATTAAGCGCGACTATTTTGAAAAGGAACGGTTCAATTACGAGCGCCGCGATTACGTTATTGCTATTATTAATTGTTATTTAGCCTACGACAACGGAGGCTATTAAAGAGTTCTAACCGCCTTAGCCGCTATTCTAACCGTTGTCGAATAAGGAAATTAATTACTCTAGGTAAATTAGATTCCTTCCTAGGGAGGTATCGGTTATAGAGTAATAAAAAAAGGATAGATAGAAATACAGGCAAGGATTCAATTTAATACCCTTTTTGGGAGGGGAACCCTTATTTCTTTATTGTACTTTAATTAATAATAGAATATTTTTATTTATATTTAATACTTTAATTGATATAGGAGTAAACGGTTATTTATTTATTAGTACTGTTTTTGTTGAAAGATTAAAACAATAATTATTAGTAGAATTTACAAGCAATTTCCTAATTCGAGGAATTAATAATTATTAAGGAAAAATAAATTAGAGTATTAAAGAAATTGTTAAAATTGCTTTAAAAATTCAAAACCGAATTATGTTACCCGATTGCTTTACTGTAGTTAATATAGTATACAATATTATTATCGGCCGGAAATAGCTCGATTTTTACGATATTTAGGTTAATTGCGTTAATCGCCGCCTACTTTTGCCCTTAAAATAGGAGCCGGACCCTAATTAATTAAAGTATTTCGAAGTTTAGGATATATCTGCTTCGATTAACCCTATATATTAAAAGAATATAAAATATTACGATATATCAATGATTCGAGAGGATAAACGATAAATAAATAGAAAGAATAATGGCCGGTCTGTCCTTTATTTTACAAGTGGCTATATTTTTATTGAATTTATTTTTGTAAATTAATTATTCTCCGATGATTGTAAGAAGGAATTCGATTTGGAAATAATACCGACGAGAAGTTCGCTAGTATTAGAAGGATATTAAGAAGCGTATCCTTAAATTGGAAGCCGCTTCCGACTAAGAATTCAAGATTATATTAATTACGCTCGAGGATTTTAGATATACTTGCAATAACGCTAGCGAACTCGGTTACGTTAGACCGTATTATTTTCTTTAGACCCTTACCGCGATTTTTAAAAAGTCCGACCCGTTGAGTAAAACGGAATATAATTTGGCTAATTTTATTTATTTTATAGTATTGTTTCTAGAATTTAAGAAACCCTATTATTAAAAATAATTTACTAAAGGAAAATAGGGATTAGATACTTAAAGTATTTATTAATTAAAGTGCGACGGTATAGGTTAGTTTAAGTATCGTCCTATATAAATATATATATTAGATAGAGACTTCTTTATACGATCCGTTAAGAAAGATAATTATATTATTTGTTTAATTAGTATATTCGAAATCGATCGATTTATCTAACGGAAATGAGTTATTAATGACCCCGCTTAGGAATCGTTTTCCCGCGACGAAAAGGAACTTTATAACGAAGCCCTTCGTACGGTTCCCTCCGAATATTATAATAAAATTGAAGTTTTTAATAAATACGATTCGAATACGTTATTTAAATATTGGTTGTGTAATTATAAAATCGAATTCGACGAGGGTTATCGATTAGAGGAATTCGGTTATAGCCCCCTATATAAAATATCCTTTAATAAATTGGAAGTTGTACGGAAATATATTTTGGAAATTTTATTAAAAGGATTTATAGAACCTAATTTATTTTTTTGGGTAGTGCCCGTTCTATTTATAAAGAAAGTAGATGGTAGTCTTCGTTTTTATGTAAGTTATTAGAAATTTAATACTATTACCTATAAAGATTATTACCCGCTACCGTTAATCGAGGAGATTTTCGCTAAAGTAATTAAAGTATAATAGTTTACGAAGATTAATATTTAATAAGTATTTTATTATATTTAAATAAGATTAGAGGACGAAAAATTAACAATTTTCTATATTGGGATAGGAGCGTTTAAATATAAACTATTATTATTTAGCTTTACTAACGGCCCCGCTAATTTTTAAAGTTTTATTAATTCGGTTTTTGGGTGAATATTTAGGCGATTTTCATATTGCTTATATTAATAATATTCTAATTTATTCTGATATTTTAAAGGATTATAGGAATTATGTTTAGAAAGTCCTTTGAAGGTTAAAAGAGGCCGGTTTATAAATAGACTTTAAACAATGCGAATTTTACGTTATTAAGACGAAATTCTTAAATTTTATTATAGGATATAACGGTATTTCTATCGATTTAGAAAAGGTGGAAGTTATTAAAGAGTAGGTTATACCCTTTAATTTAAGAGGAGTTTAATCTTTTTTAGGGTTTGACAATTTCTATTAAAGATTTATTAAAAATTACGGCCGCGTAGTACGTCCCTTTACGATTTTAATACGGAAGGGAGAAACGTTTATTTAGATTAATAAATACTAGGTTATTTTCAAAGCATTTAAGAGACTATTCGTAGAGGCCCCGCTATTAAAGTATTTCTACTATAATATTGAAATTAGAGTAGAAATAAATATTAATAATAGAATATTAGCAGCAGTATTATCCTAATTATAGGAAAATATTAGAGAATAATACTTATTTATTTTCTTTTTAGAAATTATATAAAGCGCCGAATATAATTACTCTATTTATAATCAGGAGCTATTCGTTATTATTAGGGCTTTCCAAATTTAGCGACCCGAATTCGTTAGATTACAATAAAATAAACCGTTTACAATTATTATTAATTATTAGGTATTCGAATATTTTAATATTAAGCGCTTCTTTAACCTTCGGTAAGCCGGATAGGTAGAATTCCTATTTTAATACTACTTCGAAATTACGTATCGGCCCGGTACGAAAAACGCGGTAGTGGACGCGCTTTTCCGAAAGTTTAAAGACTTTAAGACTTAGAAAAATAAGAAGGATGCGTACTATATACTTTAAATATTTAAATTAGTAGAACAAAATAGAACCGAAGTTTCTATCTTCGCTTCTATTACTACCGCCTCTAACTTATTAGAGGAATTAGTCTCAGTTATAACCCTAAATATAAATAAATTAAGCCCCGTAGAATTAGAAGGATACAAATTAGTAGACGCTCTTATAAAAGTTAATTACGAAGACGAGTTTCTAAGAGAGTATTATATTTACGCTTACGGTTTAAACCCTAATTTTATAATACTAATTAATAAATTCTTAGTATATTAAAATCGCTTAATCGTCTTTAAATCGGGTAACTTACGTACCCGTATTATTAACGAAATTTATTCAATATTAATTATAGCCTACTTAAAGAGAAATAAAATTAGAATGAATTTTTAAAATACGATATTAGTAACTATATATAATTAGAGATATTAATTGCTTCGTTAAGAATTATATAGTATATGAGGTTAGTAAAGTCCCTAAAAATAAAACACCGGGCCTATTTTACCCGATTCCTCTACTAGCCCAGAAGTAGATATTTATTATTATAGACTTTAAAAAAATATTAAGGGATAAATACTGTTTCAATAACGTGTTAGTAATATTTAATTACCTATTAAAATTATTTTAGGTTACTCTTTGTACGGAAAACGCTACAGTTCGCGACGCTATTCGAATATATTATAGAGGACTTTACTACGTTTATAATATATTGGAGGAAGTAATTTCTAATAAAGGGCCGTAATTTATATTTATATTTACAAATAAAATATTAAAATTAATGATGATAAAGTAGAAATTAGGTACCGCGGAATATAATTAGACAGTAAATTAAGCGGAAATTATAAATACTTATATGAATCAATATTTCCGGTTATTTGTTAATTATTATTAAAATGATTAGTTTGAAACTATTCTAATTTTAAACGTAGTATAGAATAGTTTTCCTTAAGATAATATAAGCCTATTTCCCTACGAAGTTATATTTAGATATTCGATAAGAATACTTTTCGATCAAAATATTTATACTTAGGACCTTAACTTATTACGGACGGAGTAGTTAATTCAGGAATAGGCGTAGGATTACACTTAGTGTATTTAAGGATATATTGAATACGTTAGGGAGATTATATTGAAAGTATAAGAATAATAAGCGGCGTAAGCTAATAAGAAACGATGGATGCCCGATTTCGAATTAGGAAATAGGGTTATTATTATTAAGAGGCTCTAGTTTACGACGATTCGACCTAATAACAAGTTCGATTTCTCCAATATTTGTAATTATTATAAGATTATTTGAGAAAGTAGGGTATTTTTACCGGCTAGAATTATTAAAGAATTAGAAAGGTATTAATGTATTTTACGTAGATTGTTTAAGGAAGTATAATAATAATTTACTCCCGGGATAGGTACTCGAGTACCCCGGTCCAGTTATGGATGAGGACGGAGATTCCGAATAGGAGGTTAATAAGGTTATAGCTTTTAAGGTAATTAATAGGAAGCTTTTCTATTAGGCGGATTGGAGGGCTTAAGACCTAGATTTAGAGTGGTATTCTATTTCCGATTTTAAATATGTATTAAAAGTACTTTAGGATTTTTACGAAGTTGATCCGGACGCTCCGGGCCCGCCCTAGTAATTAATAAATTAGTTTAATGAAGACACGGAGTAGTATAACGATAATAAATACTTTAAGGCGGAGGGATTGAAGGGTTTATAATATATTACGAGGAAGAAATAAATATAATTTATAGTATTTTATATAATTATCCGGTAAGATTCGTAGATGAGTTTTTTATATAGGGGGGGGGGGGGGGGGGGTTATATAACGGCGCTAGTAGACTAGGTTTAGGTGCTATATACGAGTATGGTTCGCGAGGGTGTTGGAATAAGGTATATGGAGGATTCTAGGTATAGTACAGTCTTAAGGGATGCGAACTATTTAATTAACTATATTAAAATTAGCTATAGGGTAGATCCTAATACGTATAGGGTTTACTATATAGGTGAAGGGGATGCGAGTGAAGGGATTGGCTAATAGCGACCCGTATATGGGTCCCGCTATCGCTTGTGCGATTGGGGTATTTATTTGGGTTTGTACGCTTATACCTAGTTCTCTTCCTCTTTTCTTTTCCCCATCTGAAATCTTCTATTATAAATAGAATCTTAGCTTTGCCTTCGACTCACCCATACTGTGCCCTTGCACTATACGTGCAGTAATTGAAGCGCAGCTGTTATGGTCTAGGGAAAGAAGTGTTTTAATACGAAGTGAGCGAGCATAGCGGAACTTCTTTCTAATGGGGGCAGACCCCTGTCAAATACCCCTATAAGTTCTTCGTGCTGTGATTAATCCGTAAAATAGGCAATCCGTACCTTAGATTGGTTAGATTTCCTATAGTCTATATATACTACGGGGGGTCCAGGGGGGTGTCCCCCTGGTCTTGGCGCCGTAGGACGATAAGCGCCGCAGGCAAAGGGGGGGTCCCGGGGGGCGCAGCCCGCTGGTAATGACAATGAAGAAAAGGAAGCAATGAAGAAAAGGAAGCAATGAAGAAAAGGAAGCAATGAAGAAAAGGAAGCAATGAGGAAAAGGAAGTATTAGAAAAAAGAAGAAGCATTGGAAAACTTTCAAATTAGAAATTGGGATATCATTAAGCGTTAAGGTAAACCGCCAAATTTTGGCGTTGATGATTAGGATATAACTAAACATTACGGTAAACCGCCAAATTTTGGCGTTAATGATTGGGATATAACTAGACCTTGAAAGTAGACTGTGACGGCGCTGGCGGACTGGGTCTGGGCCTGGGTGCCATGTGCGATGGAATGAGGTATATGGAGGCTTTGGGCATGGTACGGGCCAGAGGATGCAAGCTATTTAATTGGCTATACTAAGATTGGTTGTAGGGTAGATCTTGGTACGTATAGGGTTTGTCCTGTAGGTAAAGGGGATGCGAATAAAGGGATTGGCTAATAGCGACCCGCATATGGGTCCCGCTATCGCTTGTACGACCAGGGTATTTATTTAGGTTTATATACTTGTATTAATTCTCTTCCTCTTTTCTTTCCCTATTTGAAATCTTCAATTATAAATAGAATCTTAGTTTTACTTTCGACTTACTTATGCTATACCCTTATATTATTTTAAATCAACCTAAAAACTACTTGGGAAGGTTAAATCCCAACCGAAAACGAAATTAGAAAAATCTATCGTAAGAATTTAAGGTACTAAATATTTAGGATAATAATAATATAATAGTACTATTACGTTTAATACGTAATAGCGTTGGTAGTTGTAAAGGTACCGAGTAGATTGAGAATTATAACGATGATTGTTATAACGAGGAAGTTTGTAACGACGACGACGATTGCGACGAAACTTTCTTGGATAATAAGGAGGGCGGAAACGGCGACGGAGAAGGAGGCTCTAGCTCTCTAGATCCCGACCCTGGGTAAGAGGAGGATACAGTTATTAAACCGAAGCCTAAAAAGAAAGTCGTCGTTGACGATAGGGATAAAAAGCCGATTCCTAAGCGTAAATTTATCAATCCTATTATTAAAAATAATGTATATAAGGCTATATCTTTTAATAAGGAGTATTATAATAGTTTTTATCTAAATAAAGAACGATTTCGCGGTAAGTCTACGATCCTTCGTAAAAAGTCCTTATATTATATATATTATTAGTTGAAATTACCCGACGAAGTCTTGGTTAATGTAGTAGTTAATTATAAGGACGACGACGAAGAGCCCGAATTATTATTCGATTTATTTGATTAATATACTACTTAGGTAGTTGAAAACTTTAAAACCTTCGACGCCTATTTAATTAAGTATAAGGTTACTAACGATTGGAAGTGGAAGATAGAGGAATTCGCTAAGTTATTTATCCGCGACTCTATTCTTAACGTCCTTTTCTAGATAGTATTCCTTTCGAATTTCCTATTTTCTAGCCATTTAATTGAAGAAAAGTTCGCTAAATTATACCGCGGAGATCTTTAGATTATATTTTAGGAATTTAAGTTATGATTTATTATAAATATAGTATAGAAGGAGTACGTGTCGGATTTTTACCGCTTCGTCTCCTATTTGAGCGTTAAATTCAAAATTATTTACGATTGGGTCCCCGCTTTAGCCGACCGATATAGCGCGCCCGCTATTAACCCCGCTATAGTCTAGTACTTGAAGGATTCCTTTATTAAGAAGGAATAAATCATTAAATAATTAAAAGATTTTATTATTAATTTAAATATTAGTAAAGGAATAATTAAAAATAAGAATAAGGGAAAGGTTAAAAAAATAGTACTTCCTAGTATTGAAAAGGATGTTAACGAAGTTCTTTTTAGGGTTTCTACCTGCTTTTCGACTTTACCCCCTAAAGACCCTAATAACGGAAAGCGTTCTAATTCCTGCTGTAGTATTAAGTAAACTAACCCGGCTAAATATTATAATTAAAATAAGGAAGATAACGTCCATTTCGAAGCTTAGTACAATTTAATTTAAAATAAGTTCGAGATTAATACCAATTATTACCTATCTGACCGCGATAAATTTTTACACGTTAAGAGTTGCTTGGCCGGCTATATTTATTGCGATTTAATATTAAATTTATACGAAATTTACCCGGATTAAATAAAGATTTATTTTAGTTTAATAATTTATTTGTAGCGCTAATATTATAATTTTAATTGGGATGAGAATGCGTTTTAAAACTTTATTAAATTAAAGATAAAAGATAATCGTAATTTCGATTTCTTTAAGAATAAGTTTGTTCGGATAGTTAGCGAATGTTAACGTTCTAAGATTGAGTAGAAGTATAAATTGTTTTAGCGCCTTCTAATTAAATATAAGAAATAAATAGGCGTAAAGTATTGCGAATTTTCTATTTCCTTTAAATCTTATTATATAGATTATTTTAATTTTGGATAAGTATTGAAAATTATTGCCGACGAGAATAAAGTTGCTTTTAAGTCCGGTAAGAATAATAATTTTGGTAGAAGTAATAAGGGATCCGGTTTTGGCTCTGCTCTTGAGCTTTTTAATAGAAGAGGCGGAGGCGCCGTTCGTTAAAGTAGTAACCGTTATAAAGAAATTATTCGATTATTTAACGAAGGTAAATGTTTCCTTTATAAAAAAAAGGGTTATATTAAATGCGACTATTTTGAGAAGGACCGTTTCGATTGTAAGCCTTGTAATTGCGTCGTCGTTATTGTTAATTATTATTTAATTTACGAGAATGGATAGGAAGTTCTAATTGCTTTAATTGTAATTCTAGTTAACGAATAAGGAAATTAACTACTTTGGGTAAATTAAATTCCTTCTGAAGGGAGGTATTGGTTATAAAGTAATAGAAAAAGGATAGATAGAAATATAAAGGAAAGGAAGGATTTAATTTAATACCCTTCTTAGGAGGAAAATTTTTACTTATTCAATGTGCTTTAGTTAATAACAGAATATTTTTATTTTTATTTAATATTTTAATCGATATAGGAGCGAACGGGTATTTGTTTATAAGTACCGCTTTTGTTGAAAGATTAAAGAAACGATTATTAGTAGAATCTACGAACGATTTTGTAGTTTAAGGAATTAGCGATTATTAAGGAAAAACTAATTAAAATATTAAAGAGGTTATCCGAGTTGCTTTGAAGATTTACAGCCGAATTACTCCGCCCGATTATTTTATAGTAATTAATATAGTATATAATATTATTATCGGTTGTAGGTAGTTCGACTTTTACAATATTTAGGTAGATTATACGAACCGTTGTCTACTTTTTCCTCCGGAATAGAAATTGGATTCCGATTAATTAAGATATTTTTAGGTTTAAAATATCGTCCCCGATAAAATGAACTCCGTTTATTAAAAGGATATAGAATATTATAATTTACTAATAGTTCGAAAAAATAAACGATGAAGGAATAGGAAAAATAGCGGACGTACGATTGCCCGCTTTACGAATAGTTGTATTTTTATTAAATTTATTCTTGTAAATTAATCCTTTTTCGATTATTATAAAAAAGAGTTCGATTTCGAAATATGGGATTAATATTGTTGTAAGGTTCGCTAGTATTAAAGAGAGATTAGAAAGCAGATTTAGGAGTTCGAGGCTATTGCCGATTCGGATTCCGACCTTTTAATAGTTCTTATTACCTTCGAAGATTTTAAATATATTTAGAATGAAAATATAGGAAAGTTAGGTTACGCTAAACCCTATTATGTTTTTAGAACTTTATTATAATTTTTAAGAAGATTAACCCCTTGAGTAAGATAGAGTTTAATTTAATTAACTTTATTTAAATTATAATATTATTTTTAAAACTTAAGAAATTCTAGTAATAAAAATAATCCGCCGAGGGTAAATAGGGATTGGACGCTTAAAGTATTTATTAATTAAAGTGCGACGATATAGGTAAATAGAAGTATTACCCTATTTAAATATATATATTAGATGGGCATTTTTTCCTAAGGTCCGTTAAGAAGGAAAATTATACGATGTATTTTACGAATATTTTTAAAATTAATTAATTTATTTAATAGAAGAGAGTTATTAAAGACCCCGCTTAGGAATTATTATTTTGTAACGAAAAAGAGTTTTGCGAGGAGATTATTCGAATAGTCCCTTGCGAATATTATAATAAAATCGAGGTTTTCAAGAAATACGAATCGAATACGTTGTTTGAATATAGGTTATATAATCATAAAATCAAATTCGATAAAACTTATCGATTAGAATAATTCGGTTGTAATCTTTTATATGAAATATACTTCGACGAGTTGGAAGCTATATAGAAATATATTTTGGATAATTTATTGAAGGGATTTATTGAAGCTAGTTTATTAGTTTAGGCCGCCCTAATTTTATTCGTAAAAAAGGTTAATGGAAGCCTCTACTTCTATATCGAATATTATAAATTCAATATAATTATTGGAAAGGATTGCTATTTATTACTATCAATTAAGGAAATTTTCGCTAAGGTAGCTAAAGTATAATAATTTACCAAGATTGATATTCGATAAATATTTCATTATATTTATAGAATATTAGAAGATAACAAATTCATTACGTTGTATACCGGTATAGGGGCTTTTAAATATAAAGTATTATTATTTGGGTTTATTAACGGCCCGCCTAATTTCTAAAATTTTATTAATTCGGTCTTGGGCGAGAATTTGGACGATTTCTATACGGTTTATGTTAACGATATTTTTATTTATTTTAATACTTTAGAAAATTACCGATTTTACGTTAAGAAAGTCCTTTGCCGGCTAAAGGACGTTAGGTTCTAAACCGATCTTATAAAGGGCGAATTCTATATTACGAAGATTAAGTTCCTAAATTTTATTATAGGACGAAACGGTATTTCTGTCGATTTAAAAAAAAGTAGAAGTTATTAAAGAGTAGGTTGTACCTTTTAATTCAAGGGGAATCTAATTTTTCGTAGGGTTTTATAATTTTTATTGAAAGTTTATTACAGACTATAGCTATATAGTACGTCCCCTTACGAATTTAATATAAAAAGAAGGATTTATATAAATTAGAAAGTGTTAAGCTACTTTCGAAGAATTTCAAAGATTATTTGTAGAAGCCTTACTATTAAAATATTTCCGTTATAATATTAAAATAAGGGTAGGGATAAATACTAGTAATGGAATAATATTAAAATAAGGGGAGGGATAAATACTAGTAATGGAATCTTAGCGGGAATATTAATCTAATTATAAGAAGATAACGGGGAGTAGTATTTAATCGTTTTCTTTTTAGAAATTATATACGGAGCCGAACATAATTACTTTACTTATAATAAAGAATTGTTCGCTATTATTAAAGTTTTTTAAATTTAGCGATTTAAGTTCGTCGGATTACGATAGAATAAATTGTTTACGATTATTATCGATTATTAAGTATTTGAGTATTTTAGTATTAAGTGCCTTTTTAACCTTTATTAAATTAGATAGGCGGAGTTTTTATTCTAATATTACTTTGAAATTACTCATTAATTTAGTACGAAGAATGCGGCCGCCGACGTATTATTCCGGAAAATAAAAGATTTAAAGATTTAAAAAGATAAAGAAGATATATATTATACTTTTTAAATATTTAAGTTTATAGAGGAAAATAGGGTAGAAGTTTCAGTTATCGTTTGTATTTCTATTGCGTTGGGTCCGTCGTTAGAGGAATTAATTTTTGTTATAATATTGAATATGGGAGAATGGAGCCCTATCGAATTAGAAGGATACAAATTGTTAGACGCGCTTATAAAAGTTAATTGGGAGGACGGATTTTTAGAAGAATATTGTATTCGTATTTATAATTTTAATTTTAATTTCGTAATATTAATTAATAGACTTTTAATGTATTAAGATTGTTTAATTATTTTCGAATAGGATAATTTATGTAAATGTATTATTGACGAAGTTTATTCGACGCTAATTACAGCCTATTTAGGAAGAAATAAGACCCGAACGATTTTTAAAATATAATATTAGTAGTTATATATAGTTAGAAATATCGCCCGCTTCGTTAAGAATTATGTAATATATAAGGTTAGCAAAGTCCCTAAGGATAAATCATTAGGCTTATTTTATTTAATTCCCTTACTGGCCCGGAAGTAAATGTTTATTATTATAAATTTTAAAAAGATATTAAAGGATAAATACAATTTCGATAACGTATTGGTAATAATTGACCGTTTATTAAAATTATTTTTGTTTACCCTTTATATATAAAACGCTACGGTTCGTAACGTTATTCGGATATATTACGAAGGACTTTACTATATTTATAGTATATTAAAGGAAGTGATTTTTAATAGAGGACCGTAGTTTATATTTGCGTTTATAGACGAAATATTGAAATTAACGAAGACGAAGTGGAAATTAACTACTATAGAATATAGTTAAACGGTAATTTAAGTGGAGGTTGTAAATATTAATATCGATTAATACTTTTGGTTATTTTTTAATTATCATTAAAATAATTAATTTAAAGTTATTCTAACTTTAGATGTAGTATAGAATAATATTCTTTAGGATAGTGTAGGCCTATTTGTTGGAGGTGTCCCGTGTCACGTGCGGCCAGCCATGGCTCCCTTCTCCCTTCACTGGCCATGGCCCCACCGCACAGGGACCTCCCTTGCCCTACTTTTAGACCTCCAGACTTTACACATAGTCTGACCTCTACTCTACTCAATACATCACCATCATCATTGATTCGTTCGTTGTCGTTCAGCCTATTCACACTATTTCTTTACGAAATTATATTCGGAGATCCGATAAGAATACTTTTCGATTGGGATACCTGTACTTAGGACTTTAATATATTGCGGACGGAATAGTTAACCCGGGAATAGGTGTAAAACTACGCTTAGCGTATTTGGGGATATATTGAGTACGTTAGAGAAATAATATTAAAAGTATGGGAGTAATA